GTTCGGTCCATTGCGCTATTCGGATCCCCGACGGATCCTCCACCCAGACTTCCCTCACCTGCATTCATCACGTGGGATTATTCATTCTTACGATTTCCGGCGTAAGATAGGGGCATTCCAGCACAGCATTATGTACAATGCTGATGGCTTCTGGTTGATGAAACGATTTGAATCAGAATAAAATTTGAAATTGCCCTGTCATTCCGATTATTTCAGTCATCTGGAAGACTTGGCATTTACCATGATCTTGCCATGTGCCATTTCACATTCAGTAAGAGACATAATAGATGATCCTTCAAGGAATGAGTCCATCCAGGTGTCCACCGATAATTACTTTGAGCAAACACCCAATATCTCATGGCACCAATCGTCACAAATTGACTCTCAGAATTCGAACCTGGTCGTCAAGAGGCTTCAGGGCAGCGTCGAGTACGAGGATCCTGAACCGGACGTCCTGCCCGGGAAGATAAAGGGACTTGTCCGTTTGAACAAAGAGGAGGTTCTGGTATTCCCTGATGTTCACCAACTCGCTCTCGTTCCCAACGTAGTCCGGCACCCCATCCAGGGTGAGTTGGAGGTGCAACCTCCCCCTCTGCTCCGGCACGTTAGGCACGGGAAAGTCCACGCATTCCTTGCTCCCTGCGGGATCCCATGCCAATTCATGAGGATGAGAATGCATGGTGTTGCATGTACGACAATAGGAAAGAGCTAAACAAAGAGCAGAAAATGCCGTACGACAGGACGCTCCCATAGGTATTTCTTTCCATCCCCAACTCTAAATTTTTTTACGTATTCTCATAAAAATATATGACTACTTAGATTGATTTAATAACTGAGAAGTGGCTAGTCCATCAGCTCCAATTCTAAACAGAACGATAGAATAACTTTCAATAATGGAAATTCAATATTGGGTGGGGATGTTGTGGCACCCACTCAATGCCCCGGAGATTCAGAATTGTTTTCCCATGTCCTTGATTATCGCTCCTATTCCATCTGCGTTACTCTTTCAGTGATGTCCATCTCGTGCTCACGCTCTCCTGGTCCTTGGAGAGTGTTAGAGACGATCTGACCATGTTTTATTTTTGTTTTATTGAATGAGAGAGTTTTTCGCGCGACCTTACTTTATGGTGATAAAACTTATCCTTTGCGTTGAATTGGAATGAATGCCTCGCTAGAATGATTCTCGAGCCGTTTTGCAATATAGTTTCATGACATTGAATTAAAAGCTATGCAATCCGTTGAATGATACAAGGAAAATTCGACACTGCTAAACAGTCCCTGACCCAATCGAGTTTTGTTTCAAGGTCATCTCAAGGTCGTCATTTCAACGCGACTCCTTCCCGCGCTGAAAGCGGGGGCGGGGAATACCTTTGGTGAATGAATGGTCGAGGGTGGCCGCGAATGCATCCTCTCCTTCCCCCGTCAGAGTGAGCTTGGCGTTCCCCGGCCCTTCCAAGTTGAAGAGGGAGAGGCAGATCAGCTCGGTGGAGTTGGAGCGGAGAACCTTCGGCGCCGTCAGGAGGTATCCCCTGTGGGGTCAAGTGTAGTCCGAGATGATAATTCCGTATTTCGCGTCTCGGAGTTCAGTGAAAGATTGAGGAAAAGGCTAGAATGTTATCCCGATTCTGGTAAATCTCATAATAAATTACTTCATCTGTCAGTAAAGAAAAAATTTTCATTTTCTTTGCTCTACGTTCTCCTCTGCTCCTGCACAGCCTTTCAGGATTTTCCTTATTCAGAAACACCATCCTCATGAATGTCCGGATGAAGCACCGAATAAATGCAAGTGAGGGTGTTCCGATGATGCCAGACGTGCGCGTATCAGGAGAATATTCCAGCGATGGGATGCCAGATCCCACATTCATCCATGAACACGAACGTTAAATATTTCACTGATTGCACTAAAACATCTCGCAAGAGTAGAAATAGGAATTCCAACTGCACCCTGACAGACAAGTGACGGAAATCGAAAGGCAATGGTTATCCTACTCGGCTGAACAAAGCCTCGTTCTAGTATTCATTATACCGTGACGAACGAGCCGTCGGATAACCCAGCGATTCCGACCCTTCGGCTATGCATCGGCATAAACGTCTCACACGAGGGAGAGCCGCACCCTCAATATTTTACATCCAGAAGAGGGATCCGCGGCCTCGCCTCGGTCCCCCTCTCCTGGATGTCGAAAAGAACTCGCCCGCCTGCCGATCGGTGTATAAGGGAGGCCCCTTTCTTCTATCCCTCTCTCCCCCCTCATGTAACCTATGCTTCTCGAACTGCCTCGGGGGGTACGAACACTGAGGAGGGGAGAGGGGAACGGGACGAGATTCGTTAGTGTTAGAGAAGGTCTACATGGAGTGGGGGGAAGGGGGGCCTACTCGGTGGCCGAGTGGTGAAGAGCCTCGGCACCCGCAACCCAAGATGATGGGGATCGAGGCCAGGCGGGGGCGTCAACCTCCGTCAATGAGTGGATGTTCAACGCAATGGGAAGGCCTAAGCCGCCTTACGGAACGTTCCCGGGAGACGCCCTTAGCGTCCTTTATGATGTCATACAGGAGAGTAGGAGCTGGGTTACAATCGGTTGGCTATACATGACAGCTGGAACCCAGGTTACATAGAGCTAGGCAAACCAGGATATTTTTTTGCCAATGCAGGCCCCTTCATGGAGGAAATGGAATACCCATAACAATAGATACGAGTACTTCCGTCTCGAGAAGAGGGAAAATTTACAAGACCCCAAGTGGTGAAGGCCGAACTTTTTATCATCACGTAGGAAAAATTGAGATTTTACTCTGTACTATTAGTCGAGCTAAGAGGAGAGTTAGAAGAATTCCAGAGTGACAATTAACGGGTGTAGCCTCGCCTTGTAAGTCTTCCTTGGGAAGAGCAAAATTCCAATTCAAAAGAAAATTCCTAGGATAGTCAAGGTTTCTTTTTTCTGGAACAATCAGTTATCGGACCAAAGCTACTTTTGCCTGCACCTCAATTCATTATTTTTCTTTTAAAATGTGTATTTACTTGGATGGATGGTTGGAGTGAAGAAGTCGATATGCACAAGGATTTTTCTGAGAAAGGAGGAAGGCTTCACATTGTTGACATGTCTATATGAGGATTTCCAGTTCCATGTCACCCTGTGAATACTTTTTTCCATCTTGAAATTGGAACTTAGGTGTCAATCAAGAAAACGTTTTCATTTTCTTTGCTTACGTATTCCTCCGTCCCTGCAAACCCTTCAGCATTTTCCTTATTCAGAAACCCTATCCTCATGAATGTTCATGTCCGGATGAAGCACCGAATTGTCAATGAATGCAAGTAAGGGTTTTTCCTCTGTAATGCAGGAACGAAGGCATTGATAACCCCCCTCCACAACCTAAACTATAGGAGCTAGGAAAATTGGTAAATATATTTAAAATCCTCATTCAATTTTTAATATATTCCATCTCATTTTTTTCTGATGTCATATGATGGTGAATAACTCAAATTCAATGATTGCATCCGTACTATTACGTTTCGAGCTCACGACGTCAGAGCTAAATCCGTTTCCCGTTAATGGGTTTCGCAAAAGATTAAACGTTCAGCTTCTGTCTGATGAATCCCTAGTTTTCAAAGCTTTATCACACGGCAATTGTTTAAAGAATCTGGGATTGATTTTTTTTTTTTTTTTTTTGGGGGGGGGGGGAAATGCCCATAAACTCTCCTGATCCGAATGTGGCTGAGAACTTGGGGTTATCCCGAAAGACCGAGTTGAGGCTCATGCACACGGAGAGCATGGACTGAAAGGAAGCCATGCAAAGCGACATCACCCACCCACCCACACGTTGAAGGACGTGGACGATAACGCCGAACTCTTTCAGCGCCTCATTTCATCTTACCCCGCTCTCAGAGACGGAGCCAGGGTGCATACAAATTATGAGAAGTTTAGATTCATGTTCAGATTCGAAAACGAATGCTTTCTCTCATGTTTTAAGAGTTTTTTTTTTCCCCCAAGTTCTTACAGTTCAGGCTGTGCAGGGGAGGGAAATCTATGTGCAACGCATACATCCGAAAGCGTCTCCGAGGGCCACTTTTATGAGCATCCTTGCGACGTTATTCTGCATGCGCGCATATTCACGACTATGCCAGGGTTTGGTAAGGTCTATTTTCGGGGGAAAATCTGCGTTACTTTGCAGTAGCATTCCCCTCTGTATGTGCCCTAAAGTTTACTGTGAAAGGGAAACGCTTAAGGTCCCTACAGAACCTGTTTGGGCACGCCCCACATCGGTCGTGATGTCGATGTCAAGAAGGAATTCTCACTCTCTGCGTCTTCTAATGGCCTCATGCTCCTTGTATTTCCCCCACTCTTTCCCATAAAAGGAAGGGGCATCGTCTGGATATCTTTCGCCCAAGTCCATTCCTCCCTAGCCCTTTCATCACTCGCATGAACCCCGAAGTCTAATTGGATCACGTTCACGGCTGGCTGGACCTTTCCATGATTTCCCCGACAACTTTTGAAACTTTCTCCCCATGGAGGACGAATGTGCCTTAGGAAATACTTCGAGGAATAACAATTTGCATGCACGACTTCAGTGTGAAGCGACTTTTCTCGAGAATAAAGGGAAACCAAAGGGAATTTTTGGGTCCAATGGGATCAGCGTCACTTGCGTTACTTGCGTTACTGAGAGAAATCCCACAAATCTTGTAAATACCTGCAGAACTAATTTCGAAAATTCATGTGCATATGTTTAATTTAAATAATTTTACGAAATTCCATTCCTTAATTTTTTTCCCTTTGGGATAGAGCATGAGGTTTCCAAACTTTCACATGTGAAATTTCTTCACTGGAAAACTTACAACCGATGCAAAAGGCTTTGGAATGCCTTTCCAATGGCTTCGAGAAAAAAAAATATATATTCGGCTGAAATATACAATGTGGAGACGATTTGACAAGTTTGAGTGAGGGAAGCTGCGCACAATTTTGGTCACGCACGTATTGTGCGTATATATTTTTCTTATAAATTAATGAATGCAACGATTCGGTGGTACAAAAAGAATATATTTTAGCACGCAGATTTTCAAAAATCAAATGCTGACGGAAAAAAATATATATTAACGGTCAATCCTATTATAGACTGTATTACTCCCATGGAATGAGCAAAAATGTCCAATGTTCGAGAAACTCTGAAAAAAAAGGAATCCATGTCGATCTCTCACCTTTCTTTCGCTGTCTCCTGGGCCGAAGAAAGGGCCAGAAAGGCCGAAAGTGCGAGAAATACACGGAAACACGCCATCCTATCGGATGTCTTCTCGCCGAGACGGACGGACCCGAAGCACTCTCTCTGGACGATAACCTGGCTCTGGGGTCAAGGGAAGGAGAGCCGGTTTCTTCCTCATTTGCGAGGAGATGAATTAACCATGTGGCATGATGGGATTCATCCGGGGAGAAGAGTCTGTGACGCCATCGACAAAGGGAAGGGGAGTGACGCCTTCATTATGCCAGACGGGACGTGTCAAGGTCGAAAGGAGACGATGCAGCCGTTTCTTCATATGTTCACTACTTACTTCGCCACTGGTTTGGCGCTTGTTTTTAAATCTCGTTCAGGTGCATGGAGTTTTCGACCGGTTTTAATTCGATCCAAATACTCCTTCCTTTGTCTGTACCGAACAGTTGCTGTTAGGTTTCATAGGTTTTATACAAATTATTTTTTATTTACGCTCTCTCCTCTCGGCCTTGGGACCTCATTTGCATCCTCCCACAGAGACTTCTCGTACTTTTCTTTTCATGTATATACTTTTTAAAAGGGAAGCTTTTCGCACATGACGTCTCCTCCTCACACATACTCCTCCAGTAGCGTGCCATGCGATTAATGAGAAAGAAAGCACGCCAGTTCCCCCATCGACTCTGATTTCAGATCGGCGCTCAATTCCATGAGTCGCTCTTGGTGTTGAATTTTCTTTCGGCTTCTCCAGTCGGGCAGACCTCCAGGTCTATTTCCAGGTGATTTCCTTGTACGTTCAGGATCACGCATTCCGCAGATCTGGACACCCGTCCCCTTCTCCTTCACGGTGGCCGTGATGTTGACGGACGAGGGAGCCAGCTCCCGATCGTCCATGCCCAGGACCTCCGCTGGGATGCTTGCTTTGTGGCAGTCTTTCAGTGGCAGGAAAAGTCGAAGCAAGCGATGAAAAAAACCACATTTGGAAAGATCCATGAAGGAAAACACAGGTTAAGGGTGAGGAAATGGAGTCCTCCATCCTCAGGTTCGAAAACTCTATGGCTAAATCAAGTCTTTACAAAGGAGAAAATGAGAGTTCCTACATACATTCTTCGCAGGCTAAAACGAAATATCGACAAAAACTCTTCTTCCTCTTACATGAAGCTCGTAACTCACGTGTGCACATGTTCAGGTCGATGTTGAGTTCTTTCGCTTATCCAGGATCGTGCTCTTTGAGGATACTCTAGCCCTCCGCCTCTCCATCGTGGCCATGACAGAATATTAATGCACAGGAAATTTTTGAGGTGCAAGGTTCACTTTGTCCGGTGAGGAGTAAGCACTGCAATGAGTTTTGTTTGCATGAATTACAGGCATATGATAACTTCTTCTCTTGTGTTGCACATCTATTACTACTTTAAGTACTTTCGGTTACGTATTTGGTCATTTCCGTGAATGGTTAGGGTCGAATTTTGTCTGTTGCGGAATGAAGAGTGTTGACTCCTCATCTGTGAAATATGGTATTACACCATCACAGCGGTTGCCAGACGGTCTCCTCCAAGTGTACGTTTTCCGTGATGGCTACACTCTTAGAAAAAGGTGAGCGATTTTTCTCAAAAAAGAGAGCAAAATAGCTAACTCCAGTTTCACCCCCCTTTCACTCTGGGAATGGAGCGAATTTGCTCCATCACCAAGGAGTAAAATTGCTCTCCTCCTCCGTGAGTAAAAACGCTCCCATCAGAAAGTGATAGAGATGTCATGCAAATACGAAAATTCTCATATATTTAGTATAATGCGTGTCGATTTCGCTTTCGGACAGGCGATGACCTACCTTTGACAGTACTGATAACAGCACAGGTCAGAGGGAGGATAACCTCTTAGAGGTTCCATAGAGTGTCCGAGATACCACTTCTTTCTTACCTCATTTAATTGAGGTGTGACTGAAGGAAGTTCACGGACACTATTTATTCTAGATCTCCTATGCGAATAAATGCAAATGCGTTCCAAAAGGGTTCTCAATAGGAATATGAGCTTGTTTATGGCCTGGACTCCATGAATATGCCTTGAATATGTGGATAACAAATGATGAAGTGTCGGTGTTTATCGATTCCTATAATGAGACTAGGCGAGACATATGGCAAGGTACTGAACAATCCTGCAAGGGACGATTCCAGGGAAAGAGAGAATGGAACTTTTCTGTACTGTACGAAAAGCGAGACCCTTACCGCCATCTAGGGGCCTGGCGAAGAACTTGAAGGTGTTCACTTCAATACGAGCGATGAGGGAGCATTTGGTGAGTAATAAGAGAGTAAATCCGAAAAGCTCACGGTGTGCTCACTTTTTACTCCCCAAACGTTCGGAATTTTCTAAGTGTAGTCTCGATACTGTGCCGCCGGACGTTGTTTTCGAAACTCGCAATTGGTATGAAGATACCTGAACGAACACGCCAAAAGATTACTTGCCTAAAATTACATCCTACTGTCGAACTTGTTCGGTTCAACGGATGTCGATTACGTCATAAGCACAAACATCACAAACGGAACGGAGGAACTCTTTTCAAGCCGTACAATGTGAGATTGAAGGGAATAAGCAAAAATCGCCTGGTACAGACGTTTGGGTTCAAATGACACGGTGGTGCATCCCCAACCTAGAGTGCCGGATCTCCTCATAATACTTTGGGAGGAGGTACTCGGCAGACCTGGAAGCGCCTCTCCTCGTGTCGCCTCGCCCCGTCAGGTCCACCTTCATTCTTCAGTATCCCTATCGCACAACCGGGGTGTTACCCTCAATGCTGAAGGAGCGAGAAGAGGGATCTTCATGGAGTACACTGCAATACCAGCTGTGAAGTTTCATTCATGCTTTCATCTAATAATGTGTGCATTTTAGGATTCAGTATCGCATAAAATACGACTCCCTTCGCTACTCTTGCAAAATGTGGATGAAGAAATTGGGTATGCCGTTTTCGAGCTTGAAAAAACTGAAAAGTCCATGCTTCGATCCTTGCCCATATCAATTATCCTTGCGACTCACTGTCGTGACCGAGGTAATGTCCACAAGGAAAAGAGACCGGGAAGCTGGATCAGCTGATGAAGAAGTCCGTTTATCACTGTCAAGCTCATTAAAACTAATTTACGAAATGTATGGTAATTCTCTATCGCTGGAACGAACGAACTCTGGGGCGATATCGACATATTGCTTCCCCTCTAAGTTCCAAAAGCTAACTGGCCTTGGATTCGGCCTTCTTATATTTCAGTCTATTTTCTTTAGGCTTTAAGATATTCATTTCTATTGAATGCAAACTTGATATAAAATATATCTGACATGACTCCGTTCTTCATTATGTTAAACGTATGTTATGTTAAATGTGTACCATAGGTTCTTTTCTGCAGGGTATTTATGGCCCATTCTGAAAGGGTTTCCGGTTTGGTTTCATCCTATGACCTTCCCATTGGTTCCTTGAAAGACTAAAGGTTTTAGAGTGGACCCACACCGTTCATGCGCTACCTAGGGACCATAAGAAGGTCCATAACCAATCAATTTCAATTGCCAAGAATGGACCCGGCATCTGACCGCAAACCTGAAAAACCACGTATATGAAATCCTAAAAAGGAAAACCCAGAAAGAGTCCGAAGTTCGCGCAATTTCGATAGCCAATTCGGTTACTCGAGAGGATTTTTTATTATGGTAATAGAGGTATTAAAGTGAGCTGAGATCTCGCGAGGCTAGAGGGGAGACTCGTGTGAAGTTTACGTAACGCTACAGCGAGAGAGACGGACCGTTTCAGTCTTTTCAGCAGAGTCCCTCAGAAAAGGCCCGGAAATTAACGCAGGCGCAAAAATTCATGGATTCCTTCCGGTGACCACTGTGAACGCGAATGATTAAATCAGGCTTTGCGATACATGCTGTTTCAGGTAGAAAATCCCCTCCTATCCCGGAAGTAGGTGATTTTGAAACACATCTGTTAAACGAAGAGACAGGATCCGAAGGAAGCCTCGGGGTTGTGCTAACCATCATTCCTTTGGAATTTCACCAGAATATTTGGGGTTGTTTCACCACATCAGCCTGAAGTTGAAATTACAGCGATGAACCGAAAATGCCGCGGCATACTCGGTGCAGCCCCTCCGGTACTTCCTTTAAAATAGGATGCTCCAGCTTATGCCATGAAGCTCTCCATCCAAGAGGCTTTTTGGTCGTGTCTTCGC